CTGCAGGCATGGAAGGGAAAGAACAGCAGAAAGACAATCAGGAGACAGGTGATGGGTACTGTGAGAAATAGTGTACCCCAGATAGGTAACAGAAGTCTGACAGAATTGGAGCTTAGAGCGGGAGGCTTTGTGGCCCCGCGCTGCAAGTTGTTCTAAAAGAGCGACAGAGTCAGCTTGGCAATGAAGGAGAGTATCAGAACAGAGAAGCAAATCATCTACATATTGAATTAGCACAGAATCATGAGGCAACCGGACTGTATCGAGGTCAGACTTGAGAAGTTGGCTATATATGGTGGGTGAGTCACGAAATCCTTGAGGCAGATGGGTGAAGGTGTATTGCTGGCCCTGGTAGGTAAAAGCAAATAAATATTGAGAGTTAGGGTGAACTGGTATAGAAAAAAAGGCATTACAGAGATCCACCACAGAAAAATAAAGAGCAGAAGCAGGTATTTGAGTAAGTACAGTGGCGGGATTGGGTACTACAGCTGTCAAGGGAATCACAAAATTGTTAATAGAACACAAATCTTGAACAAAACGACAAACAGGCAACCCCTCAGGTGTACACTTCTCCTTCTTTTGGACTGGAAGGATTGGAGTATTACAACAAGAATGGGTAGGTACAAGGACACCCTATTCTAGGAGACCTTGTATTACAGGAGCAATGCCTCTGGAGGCAGCAACTGATAGTGGGTATTGTGGGATTGATGGCAGAGACACTCCTGATTTAACCTTGATGGAAATTGGGATGGCACCCTTGAGAAGCCGCACATTGGTTTTGGAGTGGGACCAAAAGGACTCAGGAAGGTGAGCCAGTAGTTCCTGTTGCAACGAGGAAGAATTGGGCTCAGGTTCCTGTTCCATTAGTGTCATCATCAAGGCAGGAATTTGGGTCTGGGGTAATGTGAGGAAGACTCCATGTGGAGAACAGCGTTTTGTTGGCCACAATTTGCAAAGGAGGTCTTGCCCCAACAGATTTACAGAGGCGCAAGCACTTAGCAAAAAGGTATGTTGCTCAGTAAGGGGACCCAAGGTAAACGAAAGCGGCTGTGTAATGGGGTGGTCAATGGGTTGATCCCCAATACCTACAGGAGTGATTACCTTACCAGAAATGGGAACCTTAGAAACAAAACCAGAGCTAAGCATAGACAAAGAAGCACTGGTGTCGACAAGAAAAGGAACAGTTTGTCCTCCCACAGTAACAGGTATTGTAACATCAGAAAAGGTAGAAAGTAAACGGGCTAGAGTCTCTGGGTCTTCTCAGTTGTCCTAATACGGATTTTCAACTTTGACGGACTGGAGAGGAGCTGGTCCAGGTGGTGGAGCTCAGTGGGCATCTGGCTGAAATGGAGGGGCACTAGCTGACAGTGGGGGCCCCCGGGGTTTATTCAGGCACTCATTCCTCCAATGGCCTTTTTGCTTACAGTAGAGGCAAACATCATTGGGAATGTCAGAGGGACCGGGTGGTTGGGCCAAGTGAAATGGTCCTACGGGGTGCGGTGGTCTGGTGCCACCCTGGGGATGTCTGATTTGCAAAGCCATCAGTTTGTCCTGAGCCTTTGATTTTTGCTGTTGGGCTTTAGTATAGAAGTGAGTGGCAGCAGCCAAAACTTCGGTGAGGGGTTTAATTTCTCACCCGATCATGGCGTTTTGCAGGGGCTCAGAGATCCTAGGTAACAGCCCTAAAACAAAGGCCTGAATAATCATGGCAGGGAGGCTGGTTTCTGGGTCCTGACTGCCAGAATGTGCCTTAAAGGCTTGGATCAGGTGAGAATAGTAGTGAGCAGGATGTTCTTCTGGCTTTTGCTTGCAGGTGGAAATTTTGGACCAATCTGTTTTTTGTGGGGAGACCCTGGGGATGGCCTCAAGGACCTGTTTATAGAAGTTCGGCAGATGGTCCTCACCGGGGTCTTGAGGAGGCCAGTTGGCCGCTTTAAGGAGGGTGTCTTTCTGGTCTCCAGGAAGAAGACCACTGAGGAGCATCTGAATATCACCATAAACCTTATAAACCTCAAAGAGGGTTTGGAGTTTTTGAGCAAACCCGGCAGGGTCATCACGGAGTTTAGGGAAGGTAGTTGACCAAGAGAAAATTTCTGATGGTGAGAAGAGGACATGGACCACCACGGGTTGCCCCCCTGGCACAGGGTATTCTTGGAGGGGATACTGTGCCCCGACAAGCTTTCCGCCCCGGTGAGTCTTCCTTACAAGGGATCTCTGGCAGTCTATCTCGGTGGTGGCATTATTTAGGTTCCGGAGGGTCAATTTGATTCTGCTGGTCTAGGGAAGCTGAATGTATGGTCCACCCGTCATGGGGGTTCAGGGGGACGTCGATTTCGAACCGATCCCCCACGAAAGAATCAAAAGTGATGGTGATAATGGGAGACGAAAGACAAGGGGTAAGTGTTGGTGGAGTTGCCAGGGAAGCCGGCGCTGCGGACACAGCAGCACCTGAGGCTGCGGGACCGGCGGGCGGTGGCAGAAGCAGGACCCAATGATCCAACAAATCGTCTTGGGGTGGGTCATCTGGTGGCGGAGGCAAAGCGGGATAAAGTCTAGCTGGACATGGGTCAGCCCTTGACACTGGAGATCTTTACCCTGATTCTGAAGGTGATCAATTTGCTTCTTAAATTTTTCGTCATTATCTATATAGGAAGCCACAATGGAGCACTTATGGAGCTTTTTGGACTCGTCCTCCCACAGGTACCAAGCTTCCATTTGAACAGGGTGCTTGCTTTCCAAATTTTCTCGGAGATGTTTGAGGATATGATGATCCCACAACCCACCTAGGGGCCAGCGCAATTTGGGGTCACCATCGGTATACCGGTTCCATTTAATTAAGTACTGCATTGACCGGGGCCCATATTTCAGATATGTATACCGGGCGGGGTCCCGCAGTGGGACCTTAGAGGTCCCGCTACCCATTGTCATGCCTAGGACTTACTGACACTGAAACAGGCAGGTACTCACCCTGGCAAGGGCTTTTTCCAGAGCCAAACAGGCAGATGGTAGATCAGGGTCTGGGGTGTCAAGGCCACAGAACCAAAGAACCAAGTCGAGGATAGCTTTCTCGGAGTGACAGAGTCGAAGAGCTGAGGCAAGGGTCCTACTCGGGGTGGTCTGTGTGAGGACACTTCCTGGGCGAGCCCCCAAGATGATGTGGAAATTCAGACAGAATCACTGTTTGGCTATCAGAAGCACTTTATTTTGCATGGCCACAGGAGAACAGCAAGGGGCAGCTCGTTATCAACAGAAAAAAGGCGCAGACTTCTTTATATACTGATAAATCACATACAGATCAGCCCGCCCCGTAACATACTCTTGGCAATCTGACAGCGACTCATCCTGGTGTCTTGCTGAACCAGGCACGTTTTCTCAAGCTGTCTCCTGATAAGCTTATCCTGACGGTCGCCGTGTTGTTCTCACTCAGCCTTCCCATATCCCTCATCCTGTCCCGATACGTATACACTCCTTTCAGTACTTTTCCATTCCTCATCAATATACAGCCACAAGCCCCAAGCCCTGTTACAAGGGGTAAGAGAGGAATGGGAAAGCACGGGTCGGCCTGAAATCAGGGTACACCACTACCAACAGGAAATGATAGAGTAGTTAACAAAAGTGAGGTAGCTTGCCCAGGAACACTTGGCCGAGGCCCAGTGGAAGCAACAATGAGGATACAACAAAGGAACACTTGCCAGACACTTCCGCATTGGGGATGAGGCCCTCCTACTACTCCCCACTACAGCCACAAGTTGCTGACATGGTGGCAAGGCCCATTCAAAATTGTGTGGCAGGCTGGGCCTGTGGACTACGAAGTCCATCACCCCAGGCATAGAAAATGGCAAAGGTTGGCTGTTGAGCCCAGAACACCCCTGGGAGGAACTAGGACCCAAGGCAGAAGAGCTACCGGAAGGGCCGGAACCAGGTGGTCAACCAGTGTACAGACCAGAACTCGACGCCTGACAGCACAACCAGCTGGGGAGGATGGTGGCGAAGTTCCATGGAGTGTTCAACGAGAGGCCCGGCTGGGCCCAAGGGATACAACATGAGATGCATACACTGAAGGGTTCATTGTATGAGAAAGGTGGAGTCCCATCCCCCATCACTGGCGAGAGAAGGTCGGGGGAGAACTATGACAGATGATGGCCTGAGGGATCATTGTGCCATCACATAGTCCATGGTGCAGTCCAATGGTAATAGTGCCAGAAAGTGATGGTAAACTCCTGCTATGCATTCAGAAGGTTAATGAGGTTGCCAGATTCAGCGCTTTTCCCATGCCACATGTAGAAGAGTTACTAGAGCAGATAGGGCAGGCTTCATACATCTCCACTATTGATATGGCAAAGGGGTACTAGCAAATCCCTGTGGCAGGAAGAAACTGGCCAAAAATGGCCTTTGGCACCTCCTGGGGGCTGTTTGAGTTTACATGAATGCCCTTTGGCCTACATGGGGCCGCAGCAACCTTTCAATGACTGATAGACTGCGTCCTAGACACACACATGATGTATGCAGCCGCATACATTGACGACACAGTAATTTACTCTGACCTGGGAACAGCACTTACTCCATGTAGGAGTGGTGCTGCAAGAAATACTCCGGGTAGGCCTAACTGTTAACTCAAAAAAATGTGCGTTAGGGGTACAAGAGATGAATTATTTGGGATTCAGAGTAGGGCAAGGTAGGATATGCCCTCTAGCTAGTAAGATAGATATAATACAAAAATACCTGCTTCCACAGACAAAGCGACAGATGTGGTCTTTTCTGGAACTAGCAAAGTATTATAGGCAATTCATTCCCAGCTTCATGGAGAAAACCATAGCACTAATGGAGGCTATAAGAGGGAAGGTACAGGGTCCTATTAAGTGGACACCTGAAATGGAGAGAGGGTTTGAAGACGTCAAAAGAGATTTGTGCAGTGAGGTAGTCGTCATAACACCTGACTTCTCAAAAATTTTCATTCTACAGACCGATGCCTCTGAGATGGCTGTAGGGGCAGTGCTTTGCCAGGAACAGGGGGGTGTAGATTGCCCAACTGCCTACGTGAGCCGAAAGTTAAACGACGCAGAAACCAGGTATTCCACCACTGAAAGGGAGTGTCTGGCCATAAAGTGGGCAGTAAACTATTTTAGATATTATTTAATAGGGCGAGAGTTTGACCTGCTTACTGATCATGCCCCACTACAATGGCTGAATAAGTTTAAGCACGACAATGCCTGGATAACACAATGGGCATTGTCACTATAGCTGTATAAGTTCAAAGTAAGGCATTGACCAGGAATGGCTAATCGCGTTGCTGATTTCCTATCGAGGTGTGTTGGGAGGAAAGAAATGAAGCATGAGACACCCCCCGCCATTTAAGTTGCCTTGGGACACATGAAAGAAACTTACCAGAGGCAGGAGAGAGGTGGTGGGACACCACGCTGGCAGCCGATAGCAGTAAAAGTGAAACCATGGCAACTCACAAAGATCAAAGGCCTGGCAGGAAGGAAGCCAGCGGGACCAGAAGTAGTATTCCCCACCAGCCCCGAGAGGCCAGAGAGCCCAGAGGACCCTGAAGAGGAGGGAATATGGGTGCCCCAGAGAGGGGAGCATGGAGGGCAAGCTAGGTCAGCGAGGGCCCAAGGAGTTGCTTATGAAGCTGACGTGGACCGAGGCCAGCAACAGCAGCAACTGGGAAGCTGGCGGAAACAACGAAGACAGAACCTGGATGTGGACACCAAGCAGATCCAAGGAAGTGATCCCTTCCTCTCTGTGGAGCACTGGTCAGGACACAGCTGGAGTACTGTGTCCAGTTCTGGGCGCCACACTTCAAGAGTGATGTGAACAACATGGAGAGGGTCCAGAGGAGGGCCACTCGCATGATCAGGGGACAGCAGGGCAGGCCCTACAAGGAGAGGCTATTGTACCTGAACCTATTCAGCCTTCACAAGAGAAGGCTGAGGGGGGATCTAGTGGCCTGTTACAAACTAGTCAGAGGGGACCAGCAGGCATTGGGGAGTACCTGTTCCCCCGAGCACTACCAGGAGTGACTAGGAATAACAGCCACAAGCTGGCAGAGGATAGATTCAGACTAGACATCAGGAGGTGCTACTTCACTGTCAGGGCGGTTAGGATCTGGAACCAACTTCCAAGAGAAGTGATGCTGGCTCCTACCCTGGGGGTCTTTAAGAGGAGGCTAGATGAACACCTTGCTGGGGTCATTTGACCCCAGTACTCTTTCCTGCCATGGCAGGGGGTTGGACTCGATGATCTGCTCAGGTCCCTTCTGACCCTACAAACTATGAAACTATGAAACTATGGCAGGTACCAAACTCGGGGAGGAAACAATGCAGCAAGGGGGTTTGAGACCTGGGCGGAGTCAGGTACCGTGTGAGCAGGAAGTACAGCAGGGCCATGGCAGACGCTCGGTGCAAGTAGCACCTGTAGCCCATGGCTGCAGCCCCTAAGAAACCGAGCATCGGGGAGGGCCAGAACATTGGCCCCAATGGACAACATCACAGTTAGCATTAGGCGGGGTGTAGGGGAGGTGCAGCCCCAAGAAGCAATAGCTGTGAGGATGACCAAGGGAGTGTACCAGGGGATATGGGACCAGACACCATCCTCCCACTAGAATACTATTTACCATCAAAGACATGGCAGGAGAGACCCCTGGAGAGCTGACCCAAGGCCGCTCCCAGTAGCCTGGCCGTGCAGCCCAGGAGGCTACGGTGAGGTTCAACAGAAACCCAGATGCGCAAGATTCAGGGAGAGAGGCACGGAAGGTTACACAATGCATGAAAGAGAAACTGGCTATAAGTTGTATTCTGAATGAATACAATGTAGAATTAGTAAAAGTCAATTCTGGTTTTTAAAATTTTTTCATTTTGAATAATGATAGACTCAGTCATATACTCAGTTATTACTTAAACCAGTAATCAGGCATGTATGTAAATGATTATGGGACTGAGGTCTGAAGGTGTTTTTGAGGTTGCAGTCTTTGACATATAGTGGAGATTTTCACCCCCTCTGTGGCCTTGCGTACTGGGCAAATGGGCTAAAGCAGCATTTGGTGAAAGAGATAGGGACAACTAAGAGAGCATTCTCTTGGTACAGGCACCAGAAGGCAGCTGCTCTTCAAGGATTCTTTTGCAAGCCCTTGTGCATGGCTGGGTGAGGAAGCAGGTGTAGCTCAGTCACAAACATACACAATAGCAGAATGTTTGTTAGAATGTGGTGGAGTATCCATCATAGATCTGAAATTTCATAGAGCCATGAGGACCAACAAAGTGGATAATACTGCCTGGGCATGGCCTAAGACTGCTCACACATACTGATCCTATGTCCGTAGGGCTATCCTACTGCAATTTAAATCTGCCTGCCATCAAAAGAAATCCAAAAAGTAAAATTGGCAGCAATTCTTTCTTGTAGGATGATACTCTCTGGGGTTGTGACAGGCCTGGCTGGAGTATGAAATTTAAATTCTCTCTCTCAGCCATCTTGTGTAATGCTATGCCCTGTTTTCTGTTACATGTAGTTCAACATGTCAATAAGAAATCAATAAAAAGCTGTACAGTTCCTCTGAGAGGAAAATTAAAGTAAAATAGTTGTGTGCAGGAAAAAATCAAAAATCATTCTGCGAACAGAAGTCCCAGGGAGCTCAAATTAGCACAAATTTATTTTAGCGTACATAGTCATTTTTGTAAGGGAAAGGAAATTCAACCCACTACTGGCTGCTTGATGCCAATGTAGAGAATTAACTCTGAAATCAAGAAAGTCCAATGGGCCTGATCTCAGATCTCACTTAAAATAAGGGGAAACTTCATTAAAGTAAATGTAGTTACATTGCAATAAAACATTTGTGAAAAGAGTACAATTCTCATTAGTTGCTGTCTATACATATTTTACCCTGAAAATTCTGCAAGCAGCACTTGAGACAGTTCCATTGAGCTATTAAAAAAATGCAATCAAGAAAACAAGATGTCTTATTACTTACTGGTCATCCAAGTCCACATTATTAGCTGAATTTTGTTCTGTGTCTCCAACGATTTTTATATCAATATCTTCCATCATCACATGTACAGGTTATTTATTCTGAAATAAAATACTTTGTTAAGTTTTACTGCATCCATTTAGGAGATACTTATGAGAAATCTCTATAAAATATAATTTTATATTAGATATACTACTAACTTGTCCGTCACATGTTTAGCTACATGATGACAGAATTTCTCTAGTGTTACCACATGTTCTTGGTTTCATGTTGTTGAATGAGTTGCCCCTTCTCCACTCTACTGAATGAGTAGCCTTAGGAGTCAAATTAGAGGTTAATTTGTCTGACAGCGACACAATACTCTCTGAAACGCTGAATACGGTAGAGGGGCACAAATATAGTTCAGATACTATCGTTAATTTATAACATTTTCTAAATTTTCACTGGGAAAGACGTTGAAAATGATGAGGGTCATAGAAAAACACTTTCATATGAGGATTAGGATTGTTTAACTTAGAAATGAGATAAATAAGGACACGATGAAAGCATATGCAGTAATCACTGGTATAGAGAAGATATGAAGAACATAAGTTTCCAACCTATTTCATAATACAAGAACAAAGGACCATCAATCTGGCACACATTAAGAACATTATAGTTGCTTCAAAAATTGTTTTTGCCCTCATGTCTCATACAACAGCCTATTTTGTATATCATTCTGTGTGGTTTCTATGTCTATTTACTTATAAAAAGCTAAGTGGACAAGAAATTACAAGCCTGGTTCCAGGTACCTTATTTCAAAATTCGTCTTCCTTTATTCTGTCCTCGGCAAGGGAAAATGTCAGCTGAGGTATCCAATACAACACAGGTTTTCTTAGAACCACATTTTGTTATAAGAAACTTTTCTGTACTGAGCAGCAAATCAACTGAGAAATCCCAACATCTGTCCATACCTACCAGTGCTGTATGTAGCTTCAGAGGGTTTTACAGGGCTGCATCTGGAATAGCTCAAGAGTGTATAGAAGCTGAACAGTGAATAGCAGATACAGCTCACTTCAAGAGAAATATTATCAACTGGAACCAATTTCCTGCCCTTTATCAGGAGCTGCTTTGATGTCTGATCCTATTTTTCCCCAGGTTGTTATTTCTATATAAAGCTACAATACTTTCAGAAATATTGTTTTCAGTTGGTCTTTTATTTATTTGCAGTGCACCCTTAACTGTTGTACCTGTGCCAGAAAAATATTGCCAAGTGAAGAAAATTGGTATAACAAATGTTAGTTCAAGGAAAAAGGACCCACTAACACAATAGATCAAAACAGAAATAATATCCCTCCTTACTTGTTTGGCAAACCTTAAGTAAAGTGACAAACTCAGGGCATCAGTGTAACTAGTTTTCTTGGACCTGTGTGGAAAGCAGGTTTAAGAGGCAAAGGACTTCAGCTGAAGTCATCTTGCTGAAAGTTCCCATGCATTTAAATCCATGGTTTTTCAACAGTTTAAATTGTTCGGTTTAAATTGCTAAATCGAAGCAAACATTGCCTTCTATGAAGCATTGGTTTAGTATAGTACATAAATCCAGTCCTTGCTAAGACTCTAGACTGCCTTCTTCTGCACCACCTGCACTACCTAAAAGGACTTGAATGATAGGCTTTAGTGAGAGGATGTCACAAAGAGAAGAAGTTGAGAGCCAGGGAATGAAATTAATTAGAGGCATGGAGAGGGGAAATGAGAGGGGTAAACAAAAGGCTGAACAATACAGAGTGGATAAATCTGATGCTTCTATTTTACTATCTCTTATAAAACAAGAATAAGAGAATATTTAATGAAATTTTAAGGCATCATATTTAGAAAAACAGGTTAAAACAATTAACCTGTAGATTTCATAGCCACTAAATATAATTTAGGGCAAGACATTAGTGCTGAAAAAATGATTAACCTGGTGTACAGGATAATTGAGAATATCCACATTTGTATTAGATGGGATTTTTTAAAAGCATAAGACATGTGGGACTCAATTTAACAGCCACTAAAATGAACTGGAGTCTTTTCATGGACTCCAGCAGGCATTTGATCAAACTCAAGATAACTTCTTCCAGCTGATAAGGTTTAGCAAAAATCTTTCCCTTAGTAGTAAACAAAGTCATCTAGAATGAAGATCTCAGGGACATAAACATGGAGGACCCTGAGAATTTCTTAAGTCACACACTCCTAAGCTCTCTGGAATTTGGATCCCAAGAAAGAAGAAAATTCCTTCAGTGAAGGGCTCAAGAACTAATTGGATAGATAATTATCTCAAGAGAGATGTTACTCACCTATGTTCAAGATTCATTGAAAGTAAAACATAAACAAAGAAGGGCTACCAAGGATGAACAAGGGACAAGAGAAGACTTGATGAGATAGGTATGGCTAGGCTAAAAATGGAGTTTGAAAGGGAATATGATTATTTTCTACTAATACATCTGGAAGGTGAGGCAGGGGGAACTACGTACCTGGGCTAAGTATAGACAATCAAAAAGTCTGAGGCTAAATTGATTCAGTCTTTGCATGTTAGATTAAACTGCAAAGATTGAACCAATAAGCAAATGTATAGACATCCACTTTTGAGTCAGGAAATGCAGCAACATGCCTGCAGTGGCTTAAGCTAGAAGCAGGGGGGCACTAGAGCATGGTTGTCTGGAACAGCCAGCATGGGTTGTGTGTTTGCTTCCTCTTTCTGCTGACTCTGAGGTTTCTGGGGTTTGCAGTCCACAATCACAGCCACAGGACTCTCCAGGGTTGCTCATCACTTCTTTTTCCTGTGTCCAGGTGCCTCTGGGATTTGTAGTCCACAATTGCAGCAAGCAGTAAGTTGCAGCCAGCAGGACAGCTCTGTATTCAGGAGAAGGGGAGTTTAACTCCCCTCCCTGCCCTAGACCCCAGCTGGGGTTTGCCTGGTTGGGGGGAGGGACAGTGAGCCAGCCCTCACTGCTCCGGCTAGGGAGCAGAGAGGTGGTGTCAGCCCTGCTCTCTGGAGCAGACAGTATAGCCCAACCTAGGGCTGCAAAGCATGCTGGGATGTTGCGGGACTCTGATTCAACTTGAACCAGGAAGGGGACTGGGACAAAAGATTCATAAACTGGTTTGACCGAAATCAGTTAAGTCTGATACTACATTTAACCAGGTTTATCTTAAACTAGTTTCAGCCATTTTGAAACTGGTTTATGTGCACTGAACTTCTGTTCTTAAACTTATTTATGTGCAACTCTGTCAGTCCAGAAGATGACAAAGAGCTTTACAAATTATGATCAAACTTACCAAATGGTTTCAGGCACAGAACCCGCTCCCCCCCCAACAAAACCCCACCAAAAAACTGAAGGATTATGTTTTAGATGGTTGAAACCTCTCAACATTTTTCTAAACAAAATATTTCATTTTTTGTTTTCAAATTAGTGCTTTTCTTTTGCTTTTCATAATCCGCCAAAAAGAATGTTTTGTTTTGGTTAATATAATGTTTTTTCTTTCTTGGCTGAAAAATGAATTTAAAAGATCATCTATTTGATTAATGTAAATTGCTTTTTTTCCCTGATATTTTGATTTGTTCACCTACTCAAAAAAGGCCATTACAAGTACCAATCTAGTTTCTTGAAACTTCACAGCATCTGGCACTGGCCATTGCCAAGAACAGGAGGCTGGTTACTTTGGACCTCATGTCCCAGACAACATGGTAGCCTTTATGCACCTAAGTTATTTTAATGTTAATTAAATACATATTAAAATTGCTTTAAAATATTTTCATTTATATCCTAACTGTGCTGCTACTGACATCAACAGTAAACCCATTCTGATTTCAGAGATTTAAAAAACTTTTGACAGAACAGCTTCCCAGCAAAATGCCTGGCACAAATGTATTAATTTAAATATTGTAAGCATCCAGTTTAAAAACCATTTTTTAAAAATGAGAGAAATTAAAGACCACCTAATATGGTGAAACGGTTTAGATAACATAAGAAGTAATTGACGCACATTCAATCCTTACACATGGATTTTTGGCTATTTTAACTTTATTTGACAGAAACAACAGCATCTAAAATGCTGCATTTAGAATCAGCATAATTGATTTGATGGACAGTAATTGGAACATAAAGTCTTTTGCACTTCAGCAAGATATGAGATCTGCATCATGAGGTAATAGTGAAGAGAGGCTGTTAATCCGCAATTAAAACATTCCTTAAACTAAATTATTTCCTGTTGTAAGTCTTATTGCTACCAAGAGATCTACACCAGAAATTAAATTTGCCCCATAAATGCAGAAGACAAGCACCCTGACCTGATATTAGAAGAACTACCAGGGACACCTCCACCAGCATCTGCACAGATGCTTTAGATTGAAATCCATGACTCCTTTTAATTAATCTAGTATGTTGCAATAAACTGAGTGAGATTCTTATGTAAGTGAAGAAAGTCATGCCATCATTTCTCCATATAAGGTGAAGGTGAGGTCACTGTTTCAGTGTGAACTTTATACTGTGCTGCATACCTTCTAGTATTGCTAACTGATAATTAACTATAGCAGTAATAGGTAGATTTTCTGTCACAAAGGTCATTCCATATAACAGGCATGAGAAGCAGAGTAACTGAACTGCTGTTTAAAAATATTTTTAGTGAGCATAGGATTTTCCCTAGAGGTTACTAATTCAATGCCATCTCTCCATAGTTCCACATGCTTAGACACTTTAGTCTCCCCATCTCTCTTCTGCCCTACCACATTATCATGCATTAACACCCTACTTTCCCCCAACCCAGCTCTTCTTCGCTTCTCCTTATCTCCCTGCTGGCTAAATCAAACTCATTTGGGACTTCCCATAGCCAGATCCAGACCACAATGCTTCCCGTGGTGGTGTTAATCCCTGTGCCCACCAGAGCTCCTGTTTCAGTGCAGGTCTAGAAGCCAGGGAATTAATGTTGTTTCTACTTGTGTCCCCCCACACCCTTCACCTGCCACCAAACTTAGTTGCCACCAGTAACTAAAACCCCTGACCTCTTTAATGAATACTTTGCCTCCTTATTTCTGAACAGGGACCGGGACATCTCCCCCACTAGGATTACGGATGGACCCAGGGGAGGCAGTGCCATGCCTAGGGTCAGGGACAACCTAGTTAGGAAACTTTTGGAGGGGCTGGACATATTTAAATCAGCAGGTCCAGATGCTCTTCACCCAAGGGTGCTCAGGGAATTGGCGGGGGTCATAGCGGGGCCCCTGGCACAGCTGTATGAGTGCTCATGGGGCTCTGGCCAGGTACCAGGGGATTGGAAAAGGGCCAATGTGGTCCCCATTTACAAGAAAGGGAGGAAGTAGGACCCTGGCAATTATAGGCCAGTTAGTCTCACCTTGGTCCTTGGGAAGACCTTTGAGAAAATTATCAAGGAACACATCTGCAAGGGCCCAGCAGGGGAGGTAATGCTCAGGGGCAACCAACATAGCTTCATTGAGGGCAGATCCTGCCTGGCTAACCTGGTTTCCTTTTATGATCAGGTCACAAAGTCCCTGGATGGGGGTGTTGAGGTAGATGTCATCTTCCTGGACTTTAAGAAGGCCTTTGACACTGTTTCTCACCACATTCTTTCAAAAAAACTAGGTGACTGCAGCATTGATGCCTACACAGTCAGATGGGTGGCAAATTGGCTAGATGGTTGCATCCAGAGAAGTGGTGGTGGGCAGGTCATTTTCAGCCTGGAGGGATGAGGGCAATGGAGTCCCCCAGGGCTTGGTCCTGGGGCTTGTACTATTCAACATCTTTATCAGCAATCTGGATGTGGGTGTGGGAAGCACGCTGTCCAAATTCACTGGTGACACCAAGTTCTGGGGTGAGGTGAGCATGCTGGAGGGGAGGGGAAGAATCTATCTGGATCTAGACAGGTTACAGCGGTGGGCGGATGAGAATAGGATGGAAGTCAATGCAGACAAATGCAAGGTGCTGCATCTAGGGAGAAGGAACCAGCAATACACCTATAGGCTGGGGAACACCCTTCTTGCCAACACAGAGGCAGAAGAAA